CACAAATAGCATAAAACCCAATTTGCATACTATGTAACAAAAAGTACTATAAGGTCTGTATGACCTCAATCATAAAAACCGTAAAATATACTAAACCAATAAAGCAATGTAAATCTCCTCCAGTAATATATATTTTAAAACGGCAATAGAAAAAACATAAAGTGATAAACATGCAAAATTAACTATTTCCATGTTATAGCAATTTGAAAAAACGTCTGGGATCAAAATGACTCCTTGAGCCTTGATAGCTGTATCTGCTGCCATCTAGCGAATAAAATTAATCGCACATTTTCATTATGTCGAAAATATAAATTATCGACTCTTATTTGACAATTTACTTTTTACTACATAAAACTTGAAATGCTATCTTTCAGTTACATTGACTAGAAATCGTTAATACGTTGTTAAATAACCCAAAATATCAAATACTACATTTTAATGTATCACTCACTATTTTGAGAGTTAAACAGGTCATATAAACAGACCGTAACGATTTTATCATCTTGGTTCTAAAAACATTTTAAAGTAAAATATTTAGTAATAAAGTTGATGTTAAGATGTATCATTTAGATTCTTAATGCATATCTAATAAGATCACGTTCAATGCAAAATTGCGTAAGTTATTTATTCCTTAAATCGTATTTAAAATTTTAATGTTCTAATTTAAGAACGATAACCTATTTTTTTGTAATTCAAGGATAACTAAGTGAAAGCAATGACCCAAAAAATTTTAAATGTTAAATAAACAAATATATATTTATTTTATTTGAAAAAAATTCAAAAATTACTGCAGTTTTAAAGTAATTAATTTAATACTCTAAAATTTCGAATAATTATTTGATCGCCATTTATAAATGAATAATTTTATTATATTAAAGGGGAGAAAACATTTTTATTGCTTACATGATCTTAAGTCTCTGAGTTTTTTCTGGACAATATATATTATCACATCAAATTGACATTATTCTTTTTAAGATTTCGATGATTTAAATCTATAAATATAACTGATTATTGAAATGAAACGATTTGTAATATGTTAGATAAACTGTTTTCATCAGTTGATCACGAGAATTTTCTCGTAATCAATTTACTCTATATCATATATTACTATATAAATACATCGATTGACGTAAATATTACTAGCGATCGGATAATACGAATAACCATTCCATTACTAAATTATCAATATTTCCGAATATCTTAACAAATCGATAAATTACTCTTCGAATGATTTCATTTTGATACTCACTTCACACATTGGCATGTTATATCACATAGATTTTCATGCTCTCACTAGACTTTTTAAATATAAATATTGAAAATGATCAATAACAAACAATTGAGAAAGAAAGAAAATTGCCAATTATATCGTAAGCTTAACACGGCAAATTATTCATATCATGTAAGTTATCATAACAATGGTGTAGCGACACCGACTAAGTCCTGTATCAAATGTTGTCAAGTGGGTCCTTGCAATAAAGTCAGTGAACTCGGTAAAAGGGGGCAAGATATAGATTATTATCACCTATAATACCCGTTAACTAATCTAACTAAATGTTTTTCTGTGTAAAATTGTATTATATTTTATTTTGTTTTATTAAATAGGCTATATTTTAAAATATTAATACTATGGACTTGTAGTAAATATGAAAGTCTGATAAAATTTGTATAAAACATCGAATAAAAATTTTGTTTCGTCATACGGTACTAAAAATAGTTCAATTATGCTTAGAACATGTTAAAATTTATAACTTGCTTCTAGATGAATAAGCATTAAATGACAGTGTATTAGTAGTGTTTTAAGTTACTGTGTTACAGCAAGCTAGTGATGGCTTGTATAACAATCTGTCATTTTTAATTGTTATTTCGAAAATTCAATAAAATATTGTTACTAAAAAGTAAAAATAACAAGTCAAAAGTAACAGGCAGTACGAAGCTGTCACATGCGCTTTACTGTGTAAGTAACAACTGGACAGTCTGAACAGAAAGCCAAAGAAGACTTGATATCGTGTTAGGCTTCTATTCTGCCAACTTAAGGAACCCTAGTTTGTTCCGAGTCGAAAACACAGTACTGTAGTTTTAATGGGTCTGTCCTGAATATGTAGAGTTCTGTCCCTCACCACCAGCCACTTTACTGTGTCTTGGCTGAACCCATGATGAACATGATTTTAAAAGTATTCTCTTAGTGCTCACATAGCAGAAAGAGTTAGAAATGAAAGGTAAACTACAGAGCATCCGTTAGTTATACAAAAATATATATTTTACTATTTTTACTAAAACTATTCGTAAAGCACTATAATACTACTCATAGATCCCTTTAATTTACGTAACGATGTAAGAATACCCTTCCGTTGCTAGAGTTTCTAATACGAAGATTTAATCATAAAATCATAAACAGAGTAGTGTATTAGAAACAGCGGCGTAGCGTGGGTGTCAGCCGCCCGGGGCGGAGGAAAATTTCGCCCCCCTTATTTAAGTATCTCAATTTAAAAAACTAAAATTCAGTTTCGTCACAGAATAAGTAATGAAAAATTCCGTGCTCATTTCAATCGGTCCAAATCGTAGGTGCGACTAGTGTTGCCACCTTTTCAAAATCGCTGGACAGCGAGGTTTGTCCGAACAGAAGTTCCTGACGCATGCGCAATGTCATTTTGCAATGCAAAGAATAACGTGCAGTGCATGGCGGTTCTAAATCAGTTACAGTTAGGGAGTAGGGAGAGTTGGGTAGGAGTAACGTAACTGAATTAAGAAAAACAACTACAGATGACCTAGCTGTATCGGATATTGGAGACGTGTACGAATACGAATCGTAGAAGCAAAAAACAAAAAAAAAACAAAAAACAAAGGTCGACAGATTGCTCACGAAATTCCCGGACAAAATTAATAGTTCACCCAGACAGTGAGTCGATTCCCGGACTGTCCGGGCGAAAACCGGACGGGTGGTAACACTAGGTGCGACAAAAATATGAGATGAAATGGTTCAAACTTTTACAAGATATTATTATTATTTATTGTGAAATTTTGCCGCCCGGGGCGGGCTGCCCCTGCCGCCCCCACTACGCTACACCACTGATTAGAAAGACTATACCATACAAATTTTCTATACCAATATTATAAGAACAAGAATTTCGATTTTCTACACGACTAAAATTAAAAAAAAAATTGAATTATACACACACGAATTTATTCAGCACCGAAGGTTTATTTGTAACATCAACCTGTTAGTGAAAAATATTTTAATTGGTCCTATTTTCATCCAACTTTAAAACATGCGCATGTAAGTCATCAATTTTAGTTGGCTAGGTAATTTACATTTCGCAGACATAAAGAAAATTCAAACCAATTATCTTGATGCCATTGCTTATGAATAGGCGGAATAATATAATTCATTTTAATTTTTTTAATTATCTGTGAAACGAACTTTTTACGGAAGCTTAGGAACGGAAACTTTCCTAAAAACAAAAAAATCTGAACCTCAGACATTGTATACATTAATAGTTACGTAACGCTGTATAAAGAATACCACAATTTGAATAATGTTCCATAACATTCCTTCAGCGTTAACGACATATATATACGCGTTTCCCGAAAAAATCTAACATGTTTGATCCGAGTCGTCGAAGGATATGACGTAGAGTGACGTTGAGTCGATGACCAAGTGATCAATGGTCGACGATCGAATAAATTTCGTTCGACGTCGCCTCCGTCCAGTTTGCTGCGATATCGTGTATTTTGCACCGGGTTTAAGCGATCAACAAACACCTTATTTGGAAGAAGGCATCACATTCATCTTTCACCAAAACAAGTAGCCTATGGTTTATTTTAAAATAATTTAAAAGACGAAGATTCGATTTTCATCAAAAAAGAAACAATTTATTTTCAATACACAATTTTATTTCAATGAATACATTATTTGCATATTAGAACGGTGGTGCATTTATTACTTTAATTTTTTATGAATTGTTAATATTTTCAATTAATTGGTTCTAGAAAATTGCATTAATATAGCTTTTTTTTAATAATAGAGAATAGAAAAGAATATATTTCAATTCAATTTAAAACTATATATGAAAGTTCCTTTTGAATCGTATTTATTACTTTCCCGCTATTATATATAACACAGGGAAAGTATGGCAATCGGTCAAAAAATAACACCTCAAGAGTTTTACATATTTGGACTTGCGCTTTAAGTCGAAAATTTCTGAAATTTTGCAGGGTGGTTTGTTTATTAGGGGATTGATGTTATTAAATTTTGGTGGTTAAAGGTCCAGGGATGGGGAGATAACGGGAGTCGTGTGTATCTCCAGTAGGGTTGGACTTAATTAATGACGATTTTATTCGTTATTAGCATTTACAATTTTTTTTTTTTTTATAAAACTCATCCCTACCCTGAAAATTATTAAGCTTTCTGCCATTTGATAACAGTTAAAAAGATAAAAAGTTTTTAAAGTAAAATATAACAACAGATAGCGCTACCAAAATTTTAAATGTTGCCGGAAAAGTTGAGAACTCGTCGCTGATTTATTTATATCATGTTGCACGCAAAAAGATATTATTTAAATCTTTTTGCATGCAACATGTGTTCTTACCTAACAAGTAAGTTACAAACTTAAAAATAATAACTTATTGAGCATTTTAAAACGTTGGCATTTAGTTCTTTTTAGGTTCTACCTACTGTACACAATGTAAATTTATTACAATATAAATAATAATGATCCATTATATATTTAAAAAAATATACTGTATTACCACTATTTTTAAACAATGTTAAATATTTCAAATATGTTTTTCATTAAATTCTTTATTATAACAGTTTAAAATACATTAATTTTTTTGTAAATTGTAAATATACATTTCAAATTAATTAAAATAAACTTTAATTCATATAAACAATCAAGTTTAAAAAATAATGGCAATTATAAAAGTTGATAACAATAATCAACAAATAAATTTAAAATAAAGCAAAATGAATTAAAATTAAAATAGTACTATTTTAATTCATTTGTTTCAAATAATATTTATAATTGATTACAAAATCAATTTCAAAATCGGAAGAAAGTTTGAAAACTTCTTTCACACTTAACTCAGAACTTCAGAATAAAACAAATAAGGCTAATTTAAAAAGATTCTTATAAATATAAAATAATCTTATATGACTTTTATTTTCTTATTATCCCTATATAAAGATTTGGGAATGCTATTCACATATAGAAATTAATAAATACAATTTCCATATTCTGTAATAGACTAGAATATACTTAACACATGTATTTTATACATCAGTTAAGAGGAATGCAATGAATAAAAATTGATACTTGTTCCTATAATAAGTAAAATTATAATCCCTTATTAAAATAAACATAATCTAATTTATAATTTTCTCCGATATTATTTAATAGAATTTTATATTTTTCTGGTTCCCATCGTTTTAAACTATTAACATGAAGAGAGCATTGTTGAGGAAACAAAGCACATGCAGCAGGTACCATGAAAATTAATATAACTCCAACTAAACACATTTGAAAAGGAGCATGTAGGGCAGAAAACTTTTTGACCAGCGGATATTTTTCTAATTTTTCCATAATGATAGGACATAACATCATTCCAGGCGTAGCCATAAAAATACGTGATATTACGACTTGTGTTATACCTTTAACAGCTGCTAATTTTGATTCTGTAACCTTATTACCATTATCATCAAAAACTGCAATACCATTTTTCCATTCAGTTTGTCTTACTAATGGAATGTTAACACAATTAGCCGCTGCTAATGCAGCAAATGGAACATATCTCTGGAGCAAATTGCTAGCTCGTTTCTGAAGAAAACTTTTCAAGCCAATAGAAGTAACTAAAGCACATGTCGTAGCAGACACATAAGCTACACCAATTTGTGTTGGAGTAAGAGGCGATTTCGCATTTCGATTAGTATAATTCACCACAGCATTAAACGATTGATTCAGCCATTGCCAAAATATCACTGCCGATGTAGTTTTATAAAACTGTAACATACCACCCGTAAGAAACATACCACCGGGAACTTGAAACGACATACGTCCAATAATATTCTGTTTGTCTCCGCTATCGGGATGGAATGATGAATCGTATAATTTTTTCGCATACCAAAGTTGTTGTTCGGTAGTACCAGGAGGTTCCTTACCAAGTTTATATTCTTCCAATAATTTCTTAGCATTATCTAATTGTTCTTCTGTTGCGAATACAGTTCTCGGATCGGTTATATTAAAAAAATGCTTCAAACGACCCGTGAAAGTACTTTGGTCCCACCTAGGTCGATCGAGATCAATACGAAGAGCAGCCATTTTTTTTTTGTTTACCACATGTGATGCACGTGGTATAAATATTAACAATTTATTGAAATTGTTCTTTGTACTAAGAATTTAATTTTAATAATTCAATTTTGTTACTTTGCAATAAAAAATTAAAATGAATATTCTTTATAAGACTTTATATAATATAAATAATAATGAATAAGATGCTTAGACGGCACCACATGTCTGAAAAGGTATTGCGTCACGAATATGAATTTATGTAAAAGTTATGCTTATTCTAGAATTGTAAGTCGAAGATATTTTAAAATTTTATTGCGTATTTTTATACAAAAATTTAATTATTGCAACCTTTCTGATTTTTCAAGCACCAATTCATATTTTCCAGGAATTGCAGCATATGGGAATACCTTGAATTTTACAAATATATAATCCACACAAAAGTATTTGTACAGATAACACTATTCTACAAGCATTTACCTCTCTGAAGACACAAGGAATATATTTAGAGATGATTTATAAGCTAGCAGTACACCTTTAATAATGGGTAAAGTTGGAGATGCAGTAACAGGGTCTAAAATGTTAGTTTCACCTACCCATGATTAAAGTGTATTGCTTACTTCATTAAATTAACTGTGGTTGCTCATTTGACTTTATTATGTACAAGAAAAGTTTGTTACACGCTGTCAGTTATGTGTTGTCGAGAAATTCTATAAAAATAAACTGTTACAGTTGACCCCCCCATAACACTGTTGATTATTTTGTTTTATATGAATTCCATGTTGTGTGAGTCACAGATTTTAAAAATACGTGTGCCAGGCTGTGAATGGCTCACGTATTTGTAAAATTAAGTGACTCGTACAACATGGAATTCATATAAAACAGAATTATCAACAGTATTATAGGGGGGTCGACTGTATTTCCATTAAAGAAAAAAATGTTTATTAGAATTTGTACTTAATCCCACTCACCAAAGTAAATATACTCCACTTTTTCGTATGGTAGGCTCAATTCAAGTTCTGAATGATACATTTGGGACCTTAACAGAGCTGCAGAGCGTACTGATAGGAACAAAAAAGTCAAAGAAACCATCTCTCTTAAGACACTTTAGCATTGAAGATATGCACTTTTTTACAAATTTCCATTCAATTGTTTTCTCATTTCATTCTTTAATCTTTTTAAGTTCTTGTTTGCTAAAAATGTGTTCCCTAATTTCACTTTCTAAATGAACACACTAGTGTTCTATAAAGCTAAGCTCTGGTGTTTGAGATAATGTATGCTGAATTTTTGGAACAGTATAAAGCAGCCGTATCTTACTTTCCTAAGTTGTATATTTTTGGATCATTTTCATGCTAGAAAACAAAAATTTCCATCAAGATGCATTTTTCAGCATTTGTGAACAGATTATTTTTGAGTGTGTTTATGTATTTTCTGATCTTTATTACCATAAATGAATGCAGATGCAGACATACATCCACAAACAAACAACTGTATTTTCACTAGTGCTCTTAAATGTGTTATTTCCATCTTACTCATTAGTTCTAGAATACCTCTATATAGTTTTTCTTTTAACAAAGCCAGATATACCAAATTTACTTTCATCACTAAAAATTATTTATTTCAAGAAAGAATTTGCTAGTTCATTGTATTCATTTGCAAAATTTATCTTTTCCTTCTTGTTTACTGGCTTTATTTATTATTTTTTCTTTAATTATAATTTTTAAAATTGTTTCTGGATTGATTTCTCTTCCAAACTTATTTTAAATAGCAGTATTTATTTTTGTAACAGATAAATTAGGAGTAATCTTAACATCTTTGAGAATTGATTGGTTTTTTCAATCAGTCAGATTTGGCTTTGCTTTAAGTTATTTGAAGTTTGAAATTTTTGAATCATTTTATTGATTGAACTGAACAGTGCCATTTTCTAACTAGTTTAACAATTTTTCTTAACATTTTACCTTTATTAAAATGAAATTTCTTTTTTTAGTTGTTTCTACATTTTTACTTCTCATTTCAAAAAATGGTTAAGAAATGAAATTGAAGCATAATATTATGCAATTCTAATAGGTAATTTCACTAATCATAAATAATTGGTCATGTTATAAATTGTATTTTCTTACAGTAATATGTGCAAGTAGGAATTGTGTATAATTAATTTTGTCAGTAAGATGTTTGCAAGCATGACTGCTTCAAATGGGAGACAGATGGATAATTACTTTTGTCTTTGAAATTAGTAGAATGAATCTAATTAAACCTTGATTTATTGAAATGAAATGAATAATTATTATAAATATTTTTTGAATATCAAAAGCAATAAAATATATGCTATTAAATTGATTACGCTCTTTAAATTTAATTAAATCTATTAAAATTTAATTGAATTTAAATTTTGTATTTTTACAGGTATAGATGATTATGCAGCATGGACAAAATGGTCCTTGTATCAAAAAAAAACCTATAAACCAAATCAAAGATAAAAATGTCTGTAGAACATTTGTATCTGTATGAATATTTTTGTGAATATAAGTAAAAAATAGATAGAATTTGTTATAAGTAAGAATTAAATTTTTTTAATCTTTGTATTATTTAGAGGAAAAATATAATGGTTTCCAACACTTTTTCAATTACATTAGATTACATTACATAAAAATATTAACTTGTACTGGAATTAGAAAGAATTAAGCAAAATTATCACCTTTTTAAATATTTCAGCAAATAATTTAATATTGTAAAAACGCTTTCAATCGTCTTTAACGATCTTCATCAGTTGAAGATTCCTTCATTACATAATTGAAAAAAGTGATTATGATGTACTTACATGGAAGGTGCCAAAAGTTTCTGGCCTAATTATGTTTTAGATGTTATAGATATAAAACAATGATGTCATTTTTCAATACAGTCTCCTTGTAGATCAACATACTTATTACAACTTGCAATTGGCATTTCAATACCCTTGTAAAAATAGTGTGCAGTTTTGTATGCAAAATGCTCATAAACTGTCTCCTGCAACTCTTCACTTTTTCAAATGTCTTTTTTGGGTTTTGGAAATGGTAATAATCACTAGAAGCTTGGTCCAGGCTGTAGGGTGAGGTGGATGGTCATGCTTCTTCACAACAGCCTTGGCAATAGCAGTCACGTGCACTGAGTCATTGTCCTGCAAGAGGCAAACATGATGCAAATTAATGCAACAAGTCTAACTAAAATAAATGTTTCCAAGCAACTTATGCAAATTGGTGGGAAAAATTGTTTCATTAGTCAACATACAGATGATGCTGTCTGATACTATCATTATTTTATTCCTATCATGTCTAAAATATAGTTAGTCCAGAAGAAACTTTTAACTCCTACCTCATATGTCTGAAATCACATATAGGGGTAATTTATTATACTGTAAATTAACTGTCATTATTAATTAATGATTTATACTAGAATTATTTATGGTAAAAAATAAAACAATGATCTAAGCAAGTGGTTGATTTACCAGGAAGCAAAACAAGCGACTATTTGAGATTCTGTGCTGAGTGGACCCCCTTTATTTTAAAATTTTCTTGTTGAGTTACAAAGACAATGCAGATGAAATTTTTGTTTCATAAATAAAAAACAAACTTTATCTCATATTTAAAAGTGTTTACTTTATTTAAAATTGAAAATCAAGTGGACATTATAAGTATTGAAATACTTTGAAACATTGATATGTTAGTACAAAATGATTAGGATTGACCTTTCCTGGGCCCTTATTAGGGGCTTTCCTTTGAGAAAAAAAATATTTTTTAATCATATACAGTTTTTATTCATAAAATTTTTATAGCATAAAATTTATTGTGTTTTATGTCAGTTTTGAAATTCAGAATTGAAATAATCTCATCTCAAAACAATTGATAAATTGCAAAAATTGTCTTTTTATGATGTGATTGAGCAGTTTGCAGCTGAGAATTGGAAGAAGTTTAATATACATGATAAAGTATGTAATAAGCTGGATATTAATGATAAATGAGATTAATCCTTTCTTCAATTTCTTTCTTTCTTCTGTCTTCCTGTTTTTTGGTTTTTATAAGTTGCAAGGATTTCAAAAAATTTAAATTACTTGGGGTCCCGTCTAAGGTAAATCCAGCACTGATCTAACAAGTAAGCCAAACAAACAACCTATTCTAATAAATTTAATTTATATAAATAAGTTGTTTTGAAAATAGCATGTTTCTATAGAATTATATTTGTTATTAAAATTATTATAATTTCTTTACATATTTGAGTAATAAATAAATGTTTGAATATAATTTGTTTAATTCCAGCATATTTATTTTCTTTAATATTTAGAAATATTCAATTACTGAAATTTATATTAAAAATATTGTATAATTATAAAATGATAAATTCATTACATGAAGAGTATCATAAATTCATTACATGAAGAGAAGAATACATATTAATCAAATTTTCTTCTCTTAATTATTCATCATTTGGAAATTAGAATTACTAAAATTACTAAAATTCTTATTTTAACAAGGAAATGTGAATTATATTTAAATATTATTTATTAAATATTCAGAAAAGAAAATGCATATAGAATTCTGTTTCATAAAATTTAACGTATACATATAATTAATTTTTATTTTATGTTTCAGCTGAAATCATCTTGTCTTTTTGAATACAAATATAAATGGAAGTTATTAAACCAATGTCGACCAGTATCAACTGTTCAAGCTCTTCAGGATAGATCTAATAGAAAATGGGGACCTGTGGGATATTTTTTACTTGTAAGAATTATATTTTAAATAATAAGTAGTAGTATCAGTAATGTTTTCCACAAAGTTTCTTTCTATTATGAAATGTAAGTTATCAATCTGTTCTTGATTCCAAGAACAGATAATTTCATATTAAATGCAATTCAGTTAAAGAACCAGAATTAAATATTGCTTTGAATGTAGTTCATGAAGTTGTAATTTCTATATTAGTTGAATTGAATTAGTGACAAGAGGCCTCAATTAACTATGTATGAACTTCCTGAACTTCCATTTTGGATTAGAATTCATGTTATTTCAATTCACAAATTTTCTTCAGAATGGAGTTAGTTCATTGGTATGACTATATTGTTAATGGGAAAAGTATGATGTACAGGGGCAAGATACTACTGAAATTGAGGGCATATATTTTTAAATTAGATAAATTAAAAATATGATTAAAAATTGTAGCCCAGCATTGTAATGATGTCATAATAATTGCTTGTTAATTTTAATTTAACATTACATTCTATATTAAATTGTTTGATTTGGTTAGAACCTGAAGATGACTGATAAAAGCAGCCAGAAATGTTCATTTCATTAAAAGTTATCTGCTGGATCAAAAAGGCTTTGTGGATAGTATTATTGGCTGAATCCTGTTTACTTATGAGTTTTAGTTAATTTTTGGAAATTAGTTGGGAGTTTTCAGTTGAATTTGTAATACATGGTAGAGTTTGCATGGTTCCTTAAAAGTCCATATTTTAAAATATAGTTCTTAAAACTATTTATTTTTGCATCAGATGTTCTTAAACTTTTTAAATTGGTGCTTAGGTATGAAATTGATGTCTGTGATTATTATACTGTATTATAGAAATTTATTATTGTTTCTGATAAAGGAAGTAACTGTAAAAGTTGGTGAGTTCTGGTGCTTGACCATTGATATTATAGTAACAGCATGATAGTTCAAGAAGAATGCATTTTCATGAGTGAATACAAATGCATTCTTATGAAATGGTTCTAGAAACTAAAAAATATTAACACAGTACTTTATTGGTGAAATGTATGCTATTTCACTTTTAATATGAATATGGCTGAAATTAAAGACAAAAATAAATAAATATACATATATTTACTTATGTATTATTTTCTAAGAAACCCTATTAATCTTTGTTGGACTGCAGTTTGAAAAAATTGTAGACCTATAAACTGACTATTCCAGCTGTTGTCTCTGTCTATCCCAGCTGTTGTCTCTGTCTATCCTACCTTAATCTTGAGAACAGAATTAGATAGATGAAAGTCGAGACCAGATGCCAGGGCTGTGGAATTGGTAAAAAAACACTCAACTCCAATTCCTGATAATTTTAGTAGACTGACTCCAGCAAAATTAAATACCAAGTCATTTTATGGGGGGCAGAGATGCTCATAGTAGGTTACCATACTCTGAACTCTGAAAAATTGCCCCAGGCATTTACCCAAATACTTTTATAGTTAATATTTTTAATATTTAACTTACATTAATATTTATTTGTATTAAAAAAATTAATTTTTAACAAATATTTAATAAGAGGAAAAAGGGGGAATAATAAAATTCTGCATATACATATCTTTATTCTACAGTTTTTGCACTTCAATTTCACCTTTCCAGAAAAGTTAGTCCATCTAAAGTGTGATCTAGCTGCTTCAGCCCCTTGTTCAAAAAAGAAAAATATATACCCTGATCAATTAGTCTGGCTCATTCAGAAAAATAGAGTGCTTATTTAGAGCAGGGATAATAAAGGAATGAATCAATAATAATCAAATTCAATTGGGTTAGCAGTCAAAATAATTTAACTACTAAACACAAATATTATGAAGAAAACTATTCATACATGTTTAATAAATTAAATTGGTGCATTTTGTATTTAAAATAAATGAATTATAACAAAATACAAAAACATTAAAAAAAATAATAATATATATAAAATAAAATTTCTTTCATTTAAATAAAAAAAAAAACTAAATTAAAGTTTAAAATGTCAGAGTCGACACATCTTTCCCGACTTTGACTCCACAGCCCTGCCAGATGCAGAAAGCTTAGAAGCATGAGGCCCCAATAAACTATATACGAACTTCTGATGCAAATCAGAAGTCATGTTATTTCAATTCAAAAATTTTTCCTGAAAGGAGTTAGATAGATGACTGATATGACACTATTGATAACAGGAAAAGTCTGATGTACAGGGGCAAGATACTACTAAATAATGTTGACTTCACTTAATAGAACATTCTTAGCTTTAATAAACTAAAGTATTTTAAATAAATTTTGTTTTATTGTGTTTGTATCATCATTGATCAAACAGACTGTCTCCAGAGGACTCTATCAGATGCAACTTTGTCCATAGTGTTACAGTATCCTGAGATCTCCCAGGAGGGTTTATGTGGGATTGGTTTACTTTGTGCTTCTCACCAAGTGACATTGATTGCACCATTTAACTGGTTTTTTGTGTTTGATACAGCTGGTATCACCATACTTTGGGTGTTAGTGATGTTGACTGGGCATGTCCTCAATCTGAGGACATGCCCAGTCAACATCACTACAGTCAAATACAGCCTACATTTATCACAATGTCTTCCAAACACTTTGTGTCACTTCTCTTCAGGATTTCTTCTTTTGTGAGTCAATCAATGTAGCTGATTCTGAGGATTCTCTGTAAACAGCAATAGTAGAACATGTTGAGTCTTTGGACTAGTTTTGTAATTTTCCATATTTCACAGGCATAAATAGCAGTTGAGAATATGATAATTTTTAAAAATTATAGTTTCATTGTTGTGGCAATGTTTACTGATGTCCAGATTAGCCAAAGTCTCTGAATTATGGTCAATATCTTGCTGAGTCAACAGTTGACATCTACATCAATGTTAGCTTCAACATTGCTATTGTTTAATATGATGCCAAAATATTTATTTATTGCTTTCTATAAATGAAAGCAATAAATGAAGGAATGTTATGAAAGAAAAGTAAGTGAACTTGTTTTACTTACACATATAGTTTATCACCATCTAAAGAGCCATCCATAAATGATGTTATGCTAAAATTCCATATTTTTTAACTTCCTTCTTCCCACATCATTCATTGTCATATTATGACAAAGCTCCTCTCACAAATGACGTCGCATTTGTTGTCATCCCAACAAAGTCTTTGCATCATTACATCAATTATGTAATAAATATTAACATAAAAATGATTTATTTACACTAGTGATGGGATAATTAATCGGAATAGGAAAATTGAAAAAATTGGGCATTTTTTGGTAATCTGAATTGAACGAATCTCATCATGATTTTCAATTCTTAAAACGATTCTTCCACATTTAATAAGAAAATTAACTATTTATTTAAGTTGAAGATTAAAAAGTTTTTTAATTACAATATTAACAATTAAGTATTAATTTATTGGAAACTTTCATTGACAAAGCAGAGAATATATGACATCCCATACACAAGGTGATGTTTGTCATAATAAACTTCTTTCTTTCATATAGTTGATGCAATGAGAGATTGCACTTGGCCAATGCTAACTGTCTCCATTTTAGAAGAGATAGGGTGACATGACAGCATAGTTCTGTAATATTTAACTCACTCTGTTTTGGGGGAGAAAAGTCACCATTGTGATTGGTTTAAGCTGTAGGTTTGCAAAGTAATTAATTATATGTGGAATGAAAGGGTGTGACACTTCTTGAAACAATTTTACATCCAGTGGGTATGTTGTTTTATTTTTTAACAAACAAATTATGTATTTGGGAATTTATGGTTTAACACTTTCTTATTCACACTTCCACTATGTTAAAGTAACAAATAAAAATTTATTTTTACACTGAAAAAAGCATCTTTTAATTGATAATATTTTTGTATGAATTAGTACTGCAGTACTAATACATTAAATTGAAATTTTAATCATTATTATTATTATTATTACTTTTTTAAAGTGTTTTTTATTCTGGCATCTTTATAATATTTGCTATGTTATTTTGTATGAAATTAATGGATTTTAAAATATTTTAATTTTGAGATTTTAAAGAATTTATATTATTAACAGATAATACCCGTAACAACATTTGGTTTAGGAACTTGGCAAATTTATAGGAGAAGATGAAAATTAAAGTTAATTGAAGAATTAGAAAGAAAAACAACTGCTGCACCAATAAGTTTACCAGAAGAGTGAGGCTTAAATTTTTAAATTTTATTTTTATCAATTTATTATATTTTTAAATTATGCTTCTAAACTTTAATGAGTTTTTTCTTTTATATTTCATTTTATCAGTTTAAGAGAAATAAAGGATTTAGAATATAGGAAAATTCACGTAAAAGGTAGATTTGATCATTCTAAAGAAATGTATATCACTCCTCGTTCATTGATAATTTCTGGTGGAAAGGAGTCTAGGACAAATTTTTTTTCTCCTGGACAAAGTGGAAGTTTTGTTGTTACACCATTTATATTATCGGATAGAAAGTAAGTATGCATTATAAAAGTAGCTGATAAGGCATTAAAGTGTAAATACATCCATTAATCATTATTAATATATAACATGGATATTATTTTAAATTACTAATCTATTTTTGATTAATATATTTTTTTTAAATATTGAGTAGAGTTTATAGATATATGGAATTTATAAACTTTTTTTTGTTTAAATTTTTTAAACTTTTATTATTTTTTTTTTTATAAACTTTAAACTTATTCAATGTTCTCTCCTCTCTCAGAATTTCTAGATTTCTTGAAACTAAAGGAATAATTCCTGTGGTATAGGCTTATGAATAGGTTTCTATGGTTACCATTGATCTTCTCAGTTCAGAAAAATTATAAAATCATCAATTAGTCAATTTATTTTTAAAAAGCTAAGCAAAATTGCAACAAACTATATCTGTATCATTTCAAAAGTAGAACAGTTTTATCCACAGATCATTCTGTCATTAGTTATGAGAGGTCAACTTGGTAAATAAATTTATCAAATCTATTTAAAGGTCTGAAAACATAGAAGCTGCAGGGCCCATCTGAACAGAATTTCCCATTTGAAGCAAAGCAATATCTGTCTTATAGCCCTGATATGTTACCTTGCAGCCTCCATGTTTTCAGATCTTTAAAAAAGTTTCTCAAAGGTTGCAGATTTCAGTCTGATAGTGAAATCCAAGCAGCTACACAGCTGTAACTGAATGATTCATTCAACAGCCTTCCTCTTTCTACATGGAAGATTTACACGAACTTAAACCACATTGGGACACATGACTGAATGCAGGAAGTGATTTTCTATAGCAGCTAATTCAACTTTGTTGTTATGCTGTATATACAGTAATCCTGCTATGGTGACTAGTAACATCATATGTTTTACATGGTCTAGTCCAGGGGTGGCCAACACTTTTTGCCCCCAGGCCGAATTGGAAAGAAAACTTTTTCCACGGGCTGAACCAGAGGCTGCCCTAGGAAGATTTTGAGCTGGTGCGAGATCTCATTGTGGTGTCATCCCATAGAGACTAAATTGTACATAGAGATTACAGATACATTTTTCACATTATCATGCTTTATCAGCATTCTACACTGTACAAGATTTGTAATGGAGGGTTAACTCTAAATGCACAGTGAGTTGTTGACGTTTTTTTTAGGCGTCAGAGTTTTTCATCAAGCTATTCGGACTTGAGTAGCTAATATTGAAAGATTAATCGCGGGCCACATAAATTCATTAAATGAGCCGTATGTTGGCCATGCCTGGACTAATCTATACTTTACTTGAACAACCTTTATATATATATATATGCATATACAATCGACCCCTCTATAACACTGTTGATTATTCCATTTTATATGAATTCCATGTTGTACAAGTCACTTAGATTTTGCAAATACATGTGCCAGGCTGTGAACGGCTCACGTATTTGTAAAATCTAAGTGACTCGTACAACATGGAATTCATATAAAACGGAATAATCAACAGTGTTATAGAGGGGTCGACTGTATACTTCAAAGTTGTATCTGATTCTAGTGTTAACTACAAGTATACCACTGAACATACTTTTTGTTGAAGTCAGTAACTTAATAAACAAAAATTTTCAAGAACTATATTTTTGTTGTCAATTATTAACTCTAATTTTTACATCTTTCTTTTCATAAAGAAATTGAAGATTGATTTAAAAGGTGAGAAAGAAGAATTGATTTCTTCATTATAAAAGTAAAAAAATACAACTGAAGAAATTGTAATTGATTTTGGAAATACAGTTTTTTAAAAATGTTTTTATTTTAAAAAATTACTGACTTCAAAAATATTTTTAATATATTTTTGTATATATAAAATATATAAAATTGTATGTAATATATAAAAATGTTTGTATATTTTATATGAATGTACAGATATCTCTGAATAACACAGTATTTAGGTTCTGAAAACATGTCAAGTTATGCAAGTCCATGTTATATGAAACAAAGGACTAATACAAAACATAGGGTTAGGTTCAAAAAGTTAGCAAAAGTATAATATTCTTTCTTGTAATTAAGAGAAATATGTTTAGTATAGCAATCAATAATTAACAAACAATCACAATCAAAAGTATTGCACATTAATATTAATGTTTTCTTCACTGCTAAACACCATCTGAGCTTTCCTGTTGACCTTAATCTAAAGTATTAGCAACATCTTGATTTTTCACATTTTTCATAAAATCTGATTTTTTTTCATTTGTTTACATTTACCTAAGAGATCTTTAAAAATTTAATCTTTTACATAGTAACTTTTAATTTAATCTATAAAAACAAAACACAATGACAGTCTTTCATTTAGAGCACTTTCATTAACAATAATGACACCTGGATCATAGGAAAGCCAGAACAAGGAAGAAGAAAAATTGTATAATCAGTTCTTATTAAAGAAAACTGGGTGAAAGACATGAAGTATCATTGAAAATTTCAATATTCTAAAATCCATAGGAAACAGGCATACTTGCATAAAATAAAATAAATATCAAATGATAGTGTTTACACTTAAAAATTGTGACATTTTGTACAGGATCATTAAATTTTCAAATAATAATGACAAATAATTTTGGGTCAATTTAAAGTCTTTATCCTTTTTTAACATTGATTAGAATGTTAAAAAAGGATAAAGGCTTTAAATTGACCCAAAATTATTTGAATATTTAATGAAAGTAAATTAATCTTTGGGACTTTAAAATTCATGTAAATTGTACAGGGATGTTTCCAATTCTTGAATTGTGTTGAAGGAAAGCAATGATATATGTATGAGGGATACCTGTATGTATACATATACACAAATATATATATATATATATATATAATTGTTTATTATCTTTATTATTACCTCTTCTTATAACTTTAATAATATTTTTATAGTTTAACTATACTTGTAAATCGTGGCTGGGTTCCAAAGAAAAAGACTTTCTCTTCCACAAGAGAAGAAGGACAGGTAATTTTTTTGTTAAAAAAAAATAAATCAAATACTTTAATAAGTTTGCTTGGATTTATTTAAAATTTTAAAATAAATATCAAAATTACAAAGTACTTTTTATATATTTTAACTGTTTGAGTGTAATATTCTTCAATAACAGTAAAAATTTCATTATGTATTTAATTATAGTTGTTTTTCAAATTAGTCATAATAGTTAAAAAGTCAGTAAACTACAAAAAGTACAATTAATAAATATTTTAAACCCAATGATTGTGAAATGCAGCTCATAAATTAGAAATATTTTGTTTGATTTATATTTATGTATTTTAAGGACTAAATAGATAAAAACAAGTAAAACAGCAAGGCTATATTTGGGACAAGACTATGTCTCAGAGACTCACTACTAAGCAGAATCACTTTGACACTCAAGGCGGGTCTTGTTCTCATTCTCCAATCTTTGGTATCACTGGTTTTGAGTGCATTCTTTCAAACTTCACTGGCTACAACCACAAAGTTATCCATGATGCATTTTCGGTGAAATTAACCTATCCAATTTCAAAATTTCTCTCTGTTGCATGTCGGCCCAGGTTGAATTTTTGTCGATGCCTAACAAAAGTTTCCTGTTTTTGAAAAAAAACAATCCTAGCTATTGTACCATCTGAAATTATTTTTTTATTTTGCACAAACTATATATATATATTAATAAATGTAGAAAAAAAGAAATTGTATTTTGGAAGTTAGTTTTAATATAAAATTATAACAATTGGTGTCATCTACTTTGAAAAAAGGTTCGATGCTGAAACGAGATATCTCGGGTCAACCGATCAAGGTCAGAACATTGTGACCAGAGATATGGTACATTGTCAGCACATTGTGACCAGGAATAACACAGGACAGGTAAATGGATTTTTTTCAAAGATTTGTTTGCCAAAATTTGATTTCTCATTTTGAACTTCCCAACACATGTGTTTGTCAAAATTTGATTTTGCAACATTCGCATTTCCAACTTTCCAATGAGCAACACATGCGCAAATCTTGCACTGCTGCCTGTCACCATTTTGAATTTTATTTTGACTCGATTCTTGGTCCCCTGAGTACCTACAAATCTGGTTTATTTTATGCGCACATGATTTGGGCACCTAATACTCTGTGCCAAATTGCAACTCCTGACAAGCAGGCAGTACGATTTTATAAACAAGACATAGTCTTGTCAATTATTAATTTAGTTTTTCTTTATTTGTATAAATTAAAATTTTCTTACATTCTTAATTGTAGAATTTCATTGGATGGCGATTATTTTATAAAATGTAAGAATAAAAATAATTTTGAAGATAGTCTGTTGACAGCTAAACAGCCTACAAAGAAAGGTCAGTCATCAAAAAAGTTTGTAGGCTGGAACACAAAGTGAATAAATGGTGGTTCCTTTTGGACAGACTCTGTCTTCAAAATTATTTTTATTCTTACATTCTTGTTAGAAGCTATCTTCTTTAATGGAAACAGTAATAAATTATAAATATTTAGAAAATACAGATATCATTATTTTTAAGATTAAAAAATTAATTTTTATAACTAAAATATGGATAAATAATGTAAATAAATTAATTTTTACAATAATAATTAATATTCTTGAGTAAATTTGTTAAAATAATGTATTGTGAAAGTAAATAGCAAATCTTTCTCCAAGGGAAAAATAAAGAAATTTAAACTTTATTGAGATCTGCCAATTAAAAGTTTTTCTGATGCTTTTCTTCTAAAGTGCTAAGAAAAGACTATTAGGAAATAAATAAGCACAATATCTCTAAAGTAAAATTGAATAGAAAAACTAAAATTAATTAAGTAAAAAAAAAGTATTTTTTTTATTTATTTATCATAAAAAATTTTATCTGAAATGTCAAAAATGGATGAACCATTATTAACTAATCATTATTAAATAATGAAATTATTATCTAAATTAATTTTTAATATGAATGGAGTTAATTTGTTTAACTAAGAATGCATAAATAGTGCAATTAGTTAAATTTTATATGGATTTGTATAAAATTTATTACTCTGATTTTTTTTTATTGATATAACTATGATACACTGATAAATAATTATGGAATATTTGTTGTAAGCTATAGATTTTCTAGTGTAATATGCAGTGGTGATATTCGAAATACTTAACAAAGGGTTCGCTAACAGAAAATTTTTCCTTAACATTTTTTTTTCGCTCAAATGGTGCATTAGCAACATTAGCTCAAAAAACTGACCTTAAGATACTTATATAAATAAAAAAGTTGCGTTCGCAAAATTAAGTCAGTTAAAATTAACATTGTTTATGCCAGAACTATATTTTTTTTATAAATAATAAAAAAGAGTGTTCAAAATGGTTTATTTTGTACATATTTTAATATTTTGATTCAAAATATTTTATAAACATAAAAATTGGCTTTTTTTAATCAGAAAAACTCATAGGGAAAGCAGTTACACAAGAAAAACTTTTTCTAAATCATTTATTTTATCGTTAGGTATTATTATAATAATAGACAGATGTCATCGTCTCTCGAAATACAATATCTTTCTTATTTCGCTGTCGATAGCTCGACACATGTTCCGCAGCCATCTTGCATTTTCTCGCGCGCGTGGGATTGTGGGATCTCTCTTATGACTGGATGTAGTTTCGAGAACTCTCTCAAGTCGATTGCGATTGAACCTCGTTTCAATCTCGACTGAAACGAGGTTCAATCGCATGGTCGATGGAGATTGCACCAGGCGAACATGATATAAGGCTCTAGTAGTGTTACAGAGTATAATACGTATATTTTAATATATTTTTTAAAAGAAACAAAACCACTGAGAAACGTGTATTTAACAACAGGTTCGGAAAACTTTGAAAATGTTAACAACGGGTTCGGCCGAACCTGTGCGAACCCGCTGAATATCACCACTGGTAATATGTATTTATTTAATTTCAAATTTATTAATTTATTTCAAATAGAATATTAATAAATGTTTTTTAGAAAAATAGGCAATTCATAATTTTTAACAATAACATTATTATGCATAATGTTATCTGAAGGCTGTTTCATATTTAAAAATTTCTCTCTCTATATATATAAAATATTATTCCAATGAAAAAAATGTTAGTGATTTATAAGCAAATTACAAGGAAGAAATATAATTTTCTTTTTAATTATCAATTTATTTTAAGAATAAATTATTTAATTAATCATCATTTAAAGTATTTTTTATGATAGAATATAAACAAATAAAAAATAACTTTCTTAAAGATTGTTTTTAATTTTAATTATTTTATATTTTGTTTATTGTAACAGACTTTAAGTTTTTCATTTTAAAAGAAATATCTTGCAGATTAAAGATGAATTGGAAATTGAAGGTGTTGTTAGACTTACTGAAAAGGTTAGTGTAATATGTATTTATTTATAATAATAATAATAATAATAATAATAATAATAATAATTTCTGCTTTAGCCCTGAACTCATTATCTAACATGTTAAACAACAAGCAATATGGCTACAATATCAGACATGAAAAGTTTACACTGTCACATCTCATGTACTGTACATGGACGACATAAAACTATGCATTCACACAAAAACAACTTCATCAACTACAAATCACACATTCAAACACCAAGGACATACAAATGGAGTTTGGCCTAAACAAATGCAAAACACTTCACATAGAAAAAGGAGTCCTAAGAAAGAAGATTTTGCACTTAGAAATGGAAATGTTATTGAATCCATGGAAGAGGACAAGTTCTACAAATATTTAGGATTCCAAGAAACTATACTAACAAAACATACACAAATAAAGCAACGATTAATTAAAGAATATCAAAGTAGGTTAAATACTATTTTTGGAACACTGTTAAATGCAAAACATACAGTTAAAGCAATAAACACATATGTTGTCCCAGTACTCACTTATTGACAAACTTACTGACCAATAAACACATTGACAGTACTCACTTATTCTTTTGGAGTTATACATTGGATTCACATAGATCTTGAGCAACTCCAAAGGAAAACAAGAACAACACTTACTAACATAAATATTCTCATCCTAAATCCACCATAGAAAGATTAACCCTTCCACGTAAAGATGGTGGATGTGGCCTGATTGACATAGTTAACCCTCACTACAAACAAATACAGTCACTGTGAGAAGTTTCTACAAAAAACAAGAAACATCACAGTTACATAAAGCAGTAACTCTAGCAGACTCAAATAACACACCATTAAACTTACACTCACAACATACAGACATGACACAACATATAAAAAGCATAGACACCATTAAGCAATCACGGGTCAAAAGGCACTCCATGGCAGGCATCCCTACTACCTGTCCCAGAATTTTGTTGACAAAACCATGTCAAGCAGCTGGTTAGCTCATGGATGCCTCTTTGGTGAGATGGAAGGCTTCATGATTGCCATACAGGATCAGGTCATAAATACTAAAAACTACATAAAACACATACTCAAAGATACAACACTCAGCAAATGAAACATGCAGAAAATGTCACATCATGCCAGAAACTATACAACACATTACATCTGGATGCAAGCTCTTGGCACAGACAGATTATTTACATAGACATAATCATGTAGCAAATATAATACATCAAGATTTTGCAAACTAACACAAGTTATTAGACATCCACAAACCATATTACAAATACATTCCACAGATAGTATTCAAAAGCCACATGCACAAAATGTACTATGACAGAGCCATAATCACAGATAAAACAATTTACCACAAAGACCAGACATCACACTCATTGACAAACACAATAAAATCACGTATATTATAGACATATCTGTTCCAAACACACACAATATACAAAACACAGCACTGAAAAAATTAGCAAGTACTTAGAACTCGCCCAGGAAATAAGACATCTGTGAAAGATGGATAGGTACTTATTGTACTATCTGTCGTTCTCTCCTGTACAGCTATCATACCACACACACTATACAAAAGCCTGAATAGAAACACATATATCACACTACAGAAGGCCATTATATTGAATACATGTCATATTGTTAGGAAATTCCTGAATACAGACACACACACACACAGACACATTTATTTAATTTTTGTTTTGTTTTGGTTACTATGCCTTGACTCTGGTCTGGCATAGTACACAGCCACTGGTGTCAACTGAGTATAACTCACAAAACCCTAATAATAATAAATTTTTAATGCTATTCCAAATAATTTTTATGAAAATACAGTGACACTTTGTACCTTGAACTTAATTCATTTCAGGAAGTCATTTGAACTCCAAATCAGTTTTTCCCATAAGAAATAATAGAAAATGATTTAATCCATTCCCAGAGCTCAAACAATACCTATTTTGATAAACTTAAAACAGCAAATTCACATAATTTAAAGTAAAAATGACAGAATTAAATGCCTGAATAATGAATCAAAACACAAAAACCATAAATAAAATATGTAAATACTCATAATAAAATTAAAATTGCATTTATTTGTCACACACCATGGACTTTGGCATCTTAACATAGATGTGTGATTTAATTATAACAGTTCTGAAATTTAACTTACAGTGTGAGATTTTATTATTTGTTAGGAACTTGCTTTAAACTTTTTACTTTGCATTATGTTTGAATAACATCAAGTTATAATGTCCTTGGATAAAAAGCATGCCAGGCATATTATGCTTTATGAGTTTTGAAAAGGATACAATGTCACAAATAGTAAAAAAAAAAGATTGTAATCAGTATGGGGAATATGCTCCTAAACTTCAAACATGTCAAATGTGGTTTATATAGATCCGGTTGGGAAATTTTAAACTACAGGATTCAAAGTGTACAGAGTGCTCAAAAGCTGTCAACAAAGAAAGATTGCAGGAAGAAATTATTAAAAATCAACAAATAACACACAATACAGTATATATAACCAAACATGAAAAATAAAGTGAAAAAAGTACTGAAAATGTACAAGCATAACACAAGAACAAGAACTGACTTGGACACACAACAGATTCTGTTTATGCATCAAGCAGATTTTTTCACTATGTACAGTACACAGTTCATACGCCAAAGCATCATTTGAACTCCATGGTGAATTTTTGTTGAATTTTCATTCAAAGTTTGTCATTCAAAATACAAGGTATCACTGTATTATTAATTATCAAATTTATAACTTAATTCCATGTTTTCAATAAAAATATATATTTCTTTGGAGAATGAACTTCAAAAAAAATTATATATTTTCTTATTTAGTGATTTACTTAGTTTATACATCTGATTTAGTGATGAAATTTTGTTGATATGCTGAGAACTATTGATTTCACAATATATCAATATTTTTCTATTATATAATAAACAAATAAATAAATATATAACAATACAATAAATCTAAATATATAAAATTACATGTCCTGACTGACTGACTGATTGATTCATCATTGCCCAGAGAAAACCGCTGAACCTAAAGAAGTGAAATTTGGTACACAGTTATGGTACACCATAAAAATGCACACTAAGAAGGGATTTTTCAAAATTTCCCCCATAGGGGGGAGAGAGAGGTTTAAGGCTTAACCTGAAGAACGGCTTCTACTGTACTATTTTAGATGCAATTTTTTGTTTTTGATAGTAATAACTTAATTTTCAAATGTACAATATTTACCAAATCATCCAAATCGTTTGCCCAAGCAATGCCAGGTTCATTTGCTAGTCACATAATATAACATTTTTTGAAAAATGTTCTTTTCTAAAAATAATTACTAAACAAATTAAAATTAACAATAAAACCAGATTATTTTTTATATTTTATTGCAATGGAAACTTTGATTTATATTAAAATTTATGAGTTTTCAAATATAATATAATATTAAAAAATTAAAATTTAATTGTATTGTATTTGTGTGTGACATGTTTAAAAAATAAACTAGTGCCTTAATTTTCTTATAAATTATTTTAATTTGAATATTTTTTTTATATTTAGCGTCCACCATTTGCAATTAAACAGACTGCAAATCCTCCATTTTGGTATCATAGAGATGTTGATGGCATGGCTTATTCTGTAAGGGCTGCCCCTGTATTTATAGATGCAGTAGCAGGTGGGTTGTTAGTTCTTATTTTTAAATGTTTATTTTTAAGAAATAATTTTATTCAATTATAAATTTTTAATTTTAATACATTTTTTGCTCTTATAAATAAAAATCATTAAAATAAATAATAAAAAATAAAAGCACGATACACAATCAGAATTATGTATTAAAAGAATAATAAAAGTACAGTAAAGTGTTGTTTATCCGAATTAATTGGGTCTGAGGTTATTCGGATAACTGATTATGTACGAAAAAATATATTAACCTATCCCATGTTGAAATTTTTCTCCGCTGCGTGTCACTTTGCATTGAATTTTTGTTGATGTTAAACCTAATGAAAATTTTTATAATAATAATCGTAGCTATTGTATTGTTAAAAATTATTTCTTTATTTTGTACAAACAAAATAAATATATTGAAAAATATAAAAACAAAAAAATTTTACTTTAGAAGTTAATCTAGTATCAAAACATTTGATTCAGCATGACACACAGTCCTCAGAAAAACACCACATAAAAGTACCAGTGCTTCCAGCTAAAACACACACATTAACAAAAAAAAAAAATATTGGAGTAGCCCAAGATATAGCCAAAGATTGCAGCGCCACAGCACTAGCAAAAATTTAAATTTGCCGTCTGAAATTCTTTCGGATAAACGATGCTGTACTGTAATCTATAAGAAATTGATGCCAAACTTTTATGCATCTATTTTATGTTTATGAATAATTATTGTATTTTGTATAGGAAATTAAATTTTCAACGTATTTTTAAAAATATCATTTATGTTTTATGTTTCTTACGTGGTTTTTTTCACTGGAAATGGTTTTTACCATGTGGTCCTTTTGGTCCTTCATTTTGTTTTTAGACCAATAAAGTATTCTATTCTATATTCATAAAAATATGGGATGAGATTAAAAAACAGAAAAAGTATTATCTTGTGAAAGCAGAACATATTTGAATTCAGTTACATTGATGTAATTAAATTCTTCCGTAATACTGTATGAATGTAANTAATTTAAAGATATGTTTTAATCAAATTATACAAATTTTATAACACAGGGTGGTTAGAATTTAACTGATTGTATTCAGACACACATGGAGCTGAACCAAATTTAATTTAATGAACAGCACCACATTTTCCTCTTGTAGTGAAAATTTCAACTAATTTTTTTCCTGTAAATTCCCTCCCATGATCTGCATTGCATGTATATCGAGTTTCATTCAATTTGGTCCAGTAGCGCTTGCTCCACGTATGTTTGAGTACCAGTTTAATTCTAACCATTCTATATAAGGAAATGCTATATTTACTTGAACATGATGAAGGTAGATAGATGGTTTTAGTCTTTCTGGAAATATGATGCATCTTAGATTTGATGTAATAACTAGCAATCTCTAGAGATCATTAATTCAATTGTGTTAGTTTATCTATATATATAAATGAGGATGTTTGTTTGTTTATATGTTTGCTATACACTCCTAGGTTATTTGACCACAGTTGCCACAAAACTTGACAGTTATGTTCACATACTTCTAAATTAGATAATGTAATACATTCCACCCCAAAATATCGATTCAATTTCTATAAATCAATTAATTTCTATCTACATTATATTTACTGGCTTTACACATAGTGCTATCTATTGGCAAAAAATTTAAGAAAATAATAAACTAAATATAATTCTTACAAAAAAGGATATAATTTTAAAAAATATATATTATATTCACTTAATTATTGCAATAATGATATAGTGTGAAATAGATGTGCTATACCATTACTGCAACAGGTATCATATAGCACTTGCCTCCTTGGAATTGTAAGTGTTATCCTGTGAAAAATCTGTGTTTAATTTTCCACATCTAATGACTTGGGTTTTTTCATTTCTGAATGTATATATTATATTCACTTAATTATTGCAACAATGATATAGTGTGAAGTAAACATGCCATTATGCCATTACTGTGACAGGTAGCACATTGCACTTGTCTTTGTGGAGTAAAGTAGGGTTTTGCCCATGTACATCATACTTTTCCTGTTAGCAATAGGGTCATGCCAGTTATGTATCTAACTCCTTTCAGGACAAAATTTTTGAATTGAAATAATGTGACTTTTGGTTTTCATTGGAAGTTTGGATATAGTTAATTGGGGCCTCCTGCACCTAAGTTTTCTGTATCTGATCTTGGCATTCATGTATCTAACTCTGTTCTCGAGATTAGGGATAGACAGCAGACAGACAACTGAATTTATAGGTATACAATTTTTTCAAGAAGCAACTCAATAAATACCTCCAGTAACTAAGTGGATAAAACCATTGAACACCAGAAGTCAGTTGTGGGTTTGCATGTTGCCAACAGACTGGCCATATGCAATTTTCTGGATTTTCTTCACATTAGTAACACCCAATAGGGGACAGCTTTACATAAGTCTTCCCAAGATGCATCCTCCTTGGCAGATCGTTCATGTGTCACATTGCCATAACCAAATAAACCAAACCAATTCTAATAATTTTTTTATAAACGTGATATTCATGTAGACTTACTTAATTACCACGAAACTGGACACCCTGCCCCTCCCCAGATTTCATCTCCCCTTATTAACTCATAAATCCATTGCCCCAAACTTCCTTCACTGATACTGCTTAAAGATGTTCTAGCAATTTCATCATGATAATAAATAGGAAAAATAAGCATTTTTCTTATTTATTATCATGGTGAGATTGTTTCATCCAAAACTTCCTGTAGTTGTAGTCTGCATAATATACTGTACACTTTATTCACATGTTGAGTCTTACTTTCAAATCTGCTTTGACTATTCTTATATCACAATTTTCAAAAGTTTCCTTTACTTAGATGTTTTTGCTGTGCTTTACTTGTTCAACCTGGTTTCACCAGTTTTTTTTTTATAGGATCACATAAAAGCAATTATTCTTGCATTTTTACAGGATTTTTTATTTAAACTAGTTTTATATGAAGTCTTTCAGATGTCAAGGTTAGCAACTTTCATCACAATCTATCCAACATGGATCACTTTTTAAATATTAATAGTAGAACAGTATTAATGAGTAGTCATTCATCCTCACTTCTGGAAGAAGGTCAATGACTACTTTTGGTCAAATTAACTTAAATCCCCTTTTGCAACAGTCCCTTCTTTCTATTGGACCCAGTGGTATGGTGACATTCGAATATGAAAATTGCATAAGATGAGATTACTGGCCATTACAAAATATATTTTCAAGGGTGCCAAGTTTAAATAGTTGTTTTCTTTTTCATGAAATTTGATTTGTTGGTGGAATACCATTTGATATTCAGCTATGAATGAAATAGTTTGTTACAGCTAACATTAGAAAAAAATGCATTATCTTAAAAATTTAATGTATTGTATTTTCAATTGCTATCTACTTGACCAATGAAATTGTGCCATTTTGTACTACCTGAGTATTGTAATAAATGTGACAATGATAGGCTAAAATAACCAAATTCTTTATATGGTTTTCATTTGAATGTTTGTTATATTATAGTATTTGATTATAAGTACAAAGGTTATCTTATGTAAGGGTTTATCACACTGAGTGACCAATCTAACCCATTTAAATTAAAAAATTCTTTATTCCTCTACTGTACACAATTTAAAGAAATTTTTTAATGTGTTAGATTGTTCACTTGGTGTGATAAATCCTTACCTAAGATAATTTTTCTAAATCTAAATCAAATACTTTAATATAATAGAAGGGGTAGAAGTATGAAATAATTCTAATGTTTGTTTTTATTTTTTTGCCTGAGAAATGCTTGGCTTACCTGCTTATATATATATTATATTTAATCATGTATGAATATTTATTTCTTATTTACAATATATATAAAAATTAATACTTTAATTCATTATTTTTATATTTTTAATTAAATTGTAGAGAGTACTGTTCCTGGTGGTCCCATTGGTGGTCAAACAAGAGTGACATTAAGGAATGAACATTTTTCTTACATTATAACATGGTATGATTGAACTATTTTTAATTTTAGTACTTATAATAACCAAAAAATAAATATATTTTTTGTTTTATTTTTCAAAATGATTTTCATTAATTTTTCAAAAATTTTTATTCAAATAAAATTACATATTTCTTCAATTTAGGTATTCCTTATCAGCAGCAACAAGCTTTTTATGGTATAGGAAATTTATTCTTGGAAAACCTCTACTTTAAAATATTAGAAATAATATACTTTGTATCTGAAAATATATGTTTATTTGTCAATAAAATAGGCTTACTTAGACTTAAATGGTAATTTTTTTAAATCTAATATTTTACATGAAGTTGGATTGTAAATATTATTATTGAAATTTAAAATAAAAGTTATTAATCAGCATAAAAGAATTACATATGAAATTTCTTATATAGTATCTTTCATTCTAAAAAATGGAGACTTTCCTATTTTTGAAAATATTAGATAATTTCTGTTTAGTAATCCTGCAAGTAAGCCTACACTAATTCCTACATTGAGTGTATTTTTTCAGTTATTGACATACTGTAATGGATAAAAGAAACTGTTTGATATCTGCATTTAATTTGTCATAACTTAAGAATTAAGCATAAACAATTTCTTATAATCACTGATTACTAGGAATCTTTGAAATAATATGAATACTAAATATATGGGTAGGTTTTGAATGAATGAATAAATAAAAATCGAATATATATTATTGTGACATTGTCACAATATCAGGCTGTAATTTTTAATCATATTTTAATTTTAAAAAATCACATTACTTCCAGTTCAAACTGGAAGTTCATATATAGTTAATCAGGCCTCTGGCTCCTAAGCATTCCATTCTGGTCTTGATTTTCGTCTATCTAACTCTGTTCTCGATATTAACGAAGGACAGATGGACGAACGACAGTAGTAATGTACAGGTTTGCAATCTGAAAATTGCAGCCCAATTATATATTTGTTAAGTTAAGAGATGATTATAGTAAAAAATGTTACAATAATTATAACTTAAACCAAAGCCAAATAGGTTATACTGCTAAATCAATTCAGCAAAATAAATAACTTTTTTTACTGTAACAAAATATAATCACGTTTAGTTTGTAATCCTGACAGGATTAAAACTTGTACAGTTAAAACCTCCACAGATGAAAATTTGTCATGTTTTGAGTATGGCTGGCAAAAACTGGAAATGCTCGAAATTGGTTAACCAGTTTTGTTGAAAATCAGTTTAGGTAAAAACCGATTTTTATTATTAACTTACTCTGATCTGTCCAGATAAAATCTTATAACTCAATTTTTCATCCTCTTCTCAATTAAAATGCTAAACCATTAAGAATTTTGATAATTTACTTTTCTACTTTGTAGTTTTATGTGGAAAATAAATATAAACATTTAAAAAAATTTAAAAAAAACAATTAAAAAAATGCTTTTTATTCATATAAATACACTAAGAATAAAAAAAAATTCAGGTTTTACGATGTTCTGGGTATCGAGAGACCAAAAATAAAAGCATAGAAAGCCACAAAAATTTATATAAAGTGTAATTCACAAGTTTCTAAAATATTTCTAAAAATGAGCGACCCAAGCTTTTATTTTGGTTGCATAATACCAAGAATACTGAGAGCTGAAAAAATTATTTTGCATTTATGTGAATAAAAAGTGTTTCTTTAAAATTTTTAAAAATATTTTTCTGTGAAAAATCAGATGAAAAATCGCTTTTAAATTTAGTAGAACTAATTGGGCTGCAATTTGGGAAAATTGTAGACGTATAAATTCCCACTGTCATCCAGTGTCTGTCCTTCATAATATCAAAAACGGAGTTAGATGAAAATACAGACAAGACATGGAAAGCTTAGGGACAGGAGGTCCTGATTAACTATATAGGAACTTCTGATGCAAATCGGAAGTCATGTTATTTCAATTCAAAACTTTTCCCCTGAAAGTAGTTAATAGATGACTATTGTTAGAGGAAAAGTATGAGGTACAAAAGGGACAAAACACTACTAATTTNGAAGTTGCCCCGATCTCCCCTAAAAAAAAAAATATATTACATACAAATGTACGAACAAATAAAAACCCAGCGAAGCGGGTCCTTGCAGCTAGTTATATATATTAATATATATCTTCTCTTTCATTTCTGTTGGTATTTCACTATATATTTTAAAGACTTTAGTTTCTTTGTACTCTATACTATATTCTTCAAATGTAACATTATTAATAAATTTTTCTTTATAAATTAGTCAATCCTTTTAATTGTAATTTTATTAAAAGGCAGAATAAGCAAATACAAGTACTTTTGACAATGTATTGTTGTCTTCATCAAGAAAAAAATTTATTTAGGACAATAACTGTATTTGATTTAAAATAGTAAATGAGTTTTTACATTACATGCTTAGCCTGCCAGTTAATAAATAATTGTAATGCCAAAATACAACATGTTTTCTTCAATATACATATATATTTGGCATTAAGTACACTAGAAAATCATTTTAACTTCATAAGTATAAATTACAAACTTGTCCATGTTTGCTATTTTCACTCAGAGTGCAAATGTACTTTAAAATTTGAAAGTTATGCAATTATTGTATAAGTACATCCAAATAATATATGAAGTATTTCCCATCTACTAATTTGAATGTTAAATTTAATGATATTAATCAAAGTAAAGGAATGGCTTTTAGTCTAAAATTTAGTGCATTTATGTGAATAAAAAGTGTTTCTTTAAATTTAAAAAAATTTTTATTTTCTACTTTTTACTTCTATATATGACGCAACAGAGATAACGTTGCCATTCAGTGCCATCTATCGGATGAAATGCAATATTCTTTTTATCTACAAGTGAATAAAAAGTGTTTCTTTAAAATTTTTAAAAATATTTTTCTGTGAAAAATCAGATGAAAAATCGCTTTTAAATTTAGTAGAACTAATTGGGCTGCAATTTGGGAAAATTGTAGACGTATAAATTCCCACTGTCATCCAGTGTCTGTCCTTCATAATATCAAAAACGGAGTTAGATGAAAATACAGACAAGACATGGAAAGCTTAGGGACAGGAGGTCCTGATTAACTATATAGGAACTTCTGATGCAAATCGGAAGTCATGTTATTTCAATTCAAAACTTTTCCCCTGAAAGTAGTTAATAGATGACTATTGTTAGAGGAAAAGTATGAGGTACAAAAGGGACAAAACACTACTAATTTGAGTGGAGAGCACACATTTTAAATTAAATAAATTAAAAATATGATTCAAAATTGCAGCCCGGCATTGTGACGATGCCACAATAAAATAATTGTTTGTGTTCATTATTGCATTTTATTAATATTAATTAGTTACTACACTAAACGTTAGTAAAATTAAATAACTATCATGTATTATTCTGGTCAAAAAGATTAGTGTTTCTTCAAAGTTGGTACAGTATCAGCTGGATGTATCATGAAAATTTCACCTTTGTATGTATGGAAACTTTTGGGACACCCTGTATAGCTACTTTAAGATTTCGTTATTTATTTNAAAAAGTGTATTGTTATCAGGAATACATATATATTTAAAGTTTCAACTAGATGGGAAATTGGGAAGTGGGAAAATTCAGTTAATCTGTCTGTCTGTCCAGTTAAAATAAGTTAATAAAAAGCCTGTAACAACAATAAAAAAGTTAGAAATAATAAAATTTTCTGTTTTCTGAAAAATAATTTATTTTAATTAAATGATAAATTTTGCAATTTTGCTATTTATATATTTAAAATTTTAATTATATTAAATAATTTTAATTCCAATAAAATCTAAAACTTAAATGAGTTTTATTGGAAATGTTTATTAATTAGACAGTTAAAAACTGTTAAACTAATTTTAAATGTTAGATTATTTTTGAGTTACTAACCTGAATCTCCTTCTCCTTTATCACCAAATGCACTAACTTCTTGATTACCAGAGAGAGGTGATGAAAATAAATGACTATGAAGATTTTTTTGAGTTATTAAATGTTCTAATCTGATTGTGTCTCCACATGAAATAGGTTCTCTGTAACAAGAGAGACTACATTCAAATAAAAAATGCCTAAATACACACTAAAAATGCCTTAATATCTACTTGTTGAGAACAACAGATTCAAAGTTTCCAATATTTTAGAATTTCCCCATTACAGAAGTATTTTATGCAGTTTTTTTTAAAAATGTAACACATCTTAATCACCATGAAATCACTATGTGATGTAAGGAAATTTTTAAAATTTTCTAACTTCTATTTTAATAAATTTTCTGATTTTCCTATTAGTATATTTAAGATTGACTTATACTGTATGTCATATTTTTTAGTACTCTATAGCACTTTTCTTTACTTTTGCATTATTCATTTTAAAATGAAAAAATTTAAAGCAATTATGAAAAAAGTAAATTATGTATTCACTTTAGATTAGTCCACATTGATAGCAAGTCACCAGCAGATGCAAAATGCAAAGTGAATAATATGCAACATATGACACTGTTCCTGACAAATTTTTCCATTAGCAAATAGCTCTCCATCAGTCCATCACACTAAAAAATGTGAAACTTTTCATTATGAACCAATTTTGCTACGTGAATAAAAATCACTTTCCTGTTTCTCACTTGTTTTTACTATTTGCTGTCAATGTGAGCTAACTTTTAGAATGACTCTTCATTCTTTCACAAGACTGGAATTTTGGCAGGAAGAGGCAACTGATGTCACATACTGGTGGTATAGTATGTGACAGTGCATAAATAAAAAACTTCATAAATTTATTACAAGTATATAACTTAAATTTTAATACACTATTTTATTTTTTATATGTTGTTCAAATGTATTATATGTACAGTACATATCATCACTGAAAACATGTAAAGGTGTATCTCAAAATTTGGCTGAAATGAGTTAGATACACCTTTAAATATAAGCCTGGGTCTTTCATGTTGTGATGGAGCAGCATATCTCTATGTAACACCATTTTCATTCTATAGAATGATACACAATACACAACAGACATTTCTCAAATATCTGATGAAAATATTGTAACTTATGACATTTCTCAGGAGATGCCATAAACACTACATTTTTAAATGATCTTAAAGTCATATCTAAACTACCTCTTGCAAGTTATATTATACCATATTATACTTCTTGCAAGTTTGCCACCAAAAATGATCCCAGCTTGCTTTATGTTTTGATCTTCAACAGGTCATCTATTTGCCTGTATCAAATGACGGTGCAGTATTTTACAAAAGAAAGTTAGCTGTTTATAATTTAACTTTTTATGACATAGCCTCTCCGGACTACATTTACTACATGTTACTACATTACCTGGAATGAATGCAAAAGTGGTCAAGGTGCTTCTGAAGTATCAACAGCACTATTTACAAAGTTGCTGAAATATGATGAAAGGAAGGTCCATACTGCTAATTTATTTGCTAATGGTTGTGGTGGACAAAATTGTAATTCCATTGTGGCAGGAGCTCTCGTATGCATTATTTTGCAGTTGAAACACTTAGATGAAGTGAGTCTGTTTCTTTACCACTAATCATGGGCAATGTGAAGTAGACTACACTCTCAGTGCAATTTCATACGTGATTAAAAAAACTGGTAAATTGTTTGTGCCTTCTCAGCATATATCAGTCTTTTGTCTTGCA